CACATAGAGACAACACACCACACACACACACCACACACACACACACACACACACACACACCACACTACACCTCACACACCACACAAACGCACACACACCACACACACACACCACACCCCACTCACCACACACACACACACAAACCGCACACACACGGAACATCGTGTACCTCTGTTGGACATTGGTGCTAAGGTGGATAAGCGCATGGATAGGGTTGTTATTGGTGTAAACACGAGACTTGTATGGAACTCACAAAAGTGTAAGAAGACCGTAGTACTAGAATTTGTCAAAATGACCTTTACAGAACAGTTTCAGATCATTTCAATATTATTCATACAATATAAAACCCAATATTTTACGTTTATTTTCCTGTTGTTTAGTCTGTGTCATGTATGCAAATATAACGTTTTCAGAACAAGGTGTATCCTTCAATATAATCATAGGTTTTCGGTGATGAGAATTATAAATCGGTAACTTGTAAGGGGTTAGTGTAAACGGATAGACTATTGTTGGTTATTGATTTTGTTACATGACATGTTACTTATGTTTTTACCCTAAAACTTAAAAGAATTTGCCTGTTGTTACTTTCCAGGGATAATATGACAAAAAGTAGTTATAGAATATACAGAGTCTATATATGTTTCGACAGAGACTTCACGAAACGAGGGTTATGGTTTGTCTAGCACGTAACATTCGTAGNAAGGCACGTGAGCCCAGCATAATGTGAGCACGGAGCAAGTGGAATTTTTTAGTGTGTGCGCGTGCGAAGTGTGCCCCGCCAATTTGTTTCTATGTGTCAGCACAAGAAAGGCTCTTGAGGCCTAGTACCAGGGCCGGTTCTAGACAATTTGCTGCCCTAGGTGAGATTTTAGGCGACATTTCATGTGTAAAGAATAAATGAAAAATCTCTACAAAAGACAAATACACTGCAAAAACAGAAACTTATTGACATAGGTAATAGACGTCAAAATGGCTTCAAATGTATTCAGTATTGTATCAACATGTTTGAATTGGGGGGTGGACGTCACATCCTCAAGGGGGGTCCGGGGGTATGCCCCCCCGGGAAGATTTTTTTTTAAACATTTTACAGTAAAATGCTTCAATCTGGTGCACTTTGAGCACACAATTACTATAGACCTGATCTAGGGGGTACAACTCTAAAACACCTATATGAAACATATCGGTTTACATTTTAATAATCAAATAAGTATGTGAACATAACCAATAACCTACCATAGCCAATAACAAATACATTTAACTTCTTTTTTTTTTTTTATTCATACAGTATCTTATTTTACCTAGTTAACATTTATTTAGTAATGCACATTTTTATTTCTCCAATTTTAAACGACATTTTTTGTTTACTGTCCTGTAGTAGGCCTATACATTGAAATTATTTCAAACCTGTTTATCCCAATAATTATAAAGGAGTGCCTTGGAAATATGTGTTTACATAAATTGTGATCAAAACGTTTGAGACCCACTGAGATAACTTAGACTAAAGTTATATCTAAACACTCAGAGTCCTTTACCTCACTGAGCTGTAGTTATCAGCCTCTCAGTCTGTCAGGAGAGAGCTCCACTCCACCTTTGTTGTAGAAACATCTTCTTCTTATATCCATTAGCGCAGCTAGCACTAGGTGCTAATAACAACAGCGCTGCGGTACCTCGCTCCCACGCTCACTCGCACTTTTGCTGTGAGCTGCGGGCACCAGATAAGCCAACATCCCCCACTTTCATCACTTACAGCGCCCATCGTACAGGGCAAATGGAAAGTGTAACCGAGGTGAAAAGGGTGTTACATTTACTTAATTATGAATGTTGTTACATCAAGGCCGAAAATTAGGATGAGCACCAACGGTCAAAAATGTTTTTCCCCCTCTCAGAGCTGCCAGCGCAGCGCCCCCCCAGATCTGGCGCCCTAGGCAAACATCTATAACGCCAATGCTAAGGACCAGCCCTGCATGAAAGGGAGCAAGGTCATTGGACAGACAAATTACAAATTAATTTAGGTTGCTTGGTTACTTTGAAGACTGCGTGAACTGGTCAATGCTATTGGGGCCCCAAAACAATTGTTTTGCCCTGGCTGGCTCTGGGCCCCGGTGCGTTGCACCGGCTGCACCGTCAATAGTTACGCCACTGGTCTGAAGGCTACTTGCAAACATCCAGGGAATGCCCCAATACATAAGGCTGCAGCAGTAACACTACTCACCTTAAACGCCTCTCTTTTGACATTCTTGCTGAATCAATTAAGCATTATGTGCTGTGTGAGAACTCAGAAAAGCCCCTTGTGGAATGGTAGCTACTTGCTGATGAAATGCAGAGCAACTTTTACCTCGACTGACTGAGAGTTTGAGAGTTAGGCATGTGGTAAAAGTGTAATTCAGCGGACAATGAGGAACACTGTCACATGGGATACCCTTGTCCTCCTTGATGTCCTGGGCCCTTTGCTGTACTGAGTTATACAGTTTCAAATTAAGTCCTGTGGCTTCTGAAATACATTTAAAAAAACATTTAGATTTACCATAAAGTTGAAGGTTCATATTTAACCTATTTCAGGTAAAAAGACACACAATTCAGAGCTTAGAGAAGGCAGAGCTTACAGAAGGCAATTGACTTTAAGAATCCATATAGATTTAATAGATTTTGACAAACAGGTTTGTTCATAGTTAAGTGTATCCCTTTAGAAATGGTGTAGTAACGTTTTAAAACTGTTCAGGTTACCCTTAGCTTGGCAGCTGGATTCTGGTGAAATATCACATATCACGTGAAAATCCAACCTGTCCGGCTTCAAGTAATGTGTTTGAGATGTTAGTGTTGTGAACAACAATGGCGGTTCCTAAGGTGAGCATACAGTATATGAACAATAGCATCAGTTATAGTAATGGGACTTTGTTTTTCTGGGAGGAAATTAAAAACCAGCACTGTAACTGAAGTGGTTTTTCTGTTAACCTGACCTTTAGTTAGAGTTTCAATGACAGATTGTTCACCCAAGATAATCGAACATTTTTAAAGTGCCTGCCCTCCTTAACAGTTTCCAATGACAGCTTCTCAGATGGTTCTGTGAAACAAACCAGTTGGGGGATGTTAAAAGGGGGATCCTAGGATCAACAAAAAAACAATGCATTTAAGTTTCAATGTAATTAGCTCAGATGTGATTTTTAAGCGATGAGATAGTAAACATTATTACATGTCACTTGTTAAACGCTTTTATCCAAAGCGACTTACATACTCAATACTGTGGGCAATCCCCACAGGAGCAATTTGGGGTGAAGTGTCTTGCACAGGGACACAACGACATGCTGACTGCAGTGGGGTTTAAACATCTTAATTCAGTAGCATTTTATTTGCTTTTTTAAAACTTCACAATGAAATAATTATAAATAAAACATTATGATACATATAGTAATGTCTTGCAACTTTACAGCACTCTGACAAAGAATTCAAGTAATTTAGTGTCAAGATCATGTTGGTGCCGAGCAAATGTGCGAACACTCGAGCTATGTGCAAACTTTGGCATCCCGGCACAAAGCTATCCAGGTCACCAGTTGTGTTAAATCAAACACGAGTAAAAAGCTAGCTTGTTTCAGAAGTTTTCTGTATGTTGCTACATCTTAATTCTTTCCTAGGGCAATGTTAAAATGCTCTATTTTATTAATTCATCAGCACACACACACAGACACAGAAACCCTCACACACACGCACACACACAAACACACACACACAGCAGGAAATGAAATCAAGACTAAGGTGAACAGCAGTTCTTTGGTAATAGGAGGATAATACAAAGCGAGAGGGTGTAAGAGATTGCAGATTGTGTGTGCAGATAATGCTGTTAGATGCTAGATAACAGGAGGCCTCTGACTAAATGTTCTGCTTTGGGCAAAAAAGGCGCTGCATATTTATCTTGCAGCACCAGACTCTGTCATGGAGACAGCTGCTCCATCCTCCTCCCTTGCCTCCTCTGCATCTCCATCATCTGATTAGTGTTCTACATACTAACATATCTTGTTGTTCCAAACCTGCCATCCTGCACCAACAGCAACCACCAATGGCTCTGTATCACCTCTGCTCATCACCTGATCAAGTCGACCGCATAAACGTATGTGAATTATTGGCTATGAGTTTAGTTAGAGGGCAACATGGTGATTTTACACCAAACTCTCTATATTGCTCTTTACTGGTTTATAAAAAAGATGTTTTAATAACACCTGTTCTTCCTCCTGAGGTTACTTTGGCTTCCAAATATGTGATCCTTTGAGGTGTTGGCACTGGTTTACATTAGTGTGTGCATGTGTGTTTACTCTGCATGTGGTAATATGGCTTTACCTTAATCTCCTTTATGTTGTTTAGGTGCAACTCTAAGCATAATGTGTTGGTGTGCGAGCAATAGTAATGTTTTCATTCCCTTAAGTGGCAGGCAGTTTTGGGCAGAGAGGTATTTGTGTTAGAAAACAGGGAGATCAATAACATCCTGAAAAGAGAGAACCTCAGGGATACAATCGCACAACTTGAAGAGAGTGGAGAGAGGTAAGCGGAAACTGTTGTCTATGTTTATCAAAACAATGAGAGTCAGCAGGGGATATCAATCTATTTTTCACCACATTCTGTGAAAAAACTACAGCAAAAACATGAAATCAAAGCTCAAAGTAAATAGACATTAAAAGCATTTATATCCACAGAGACCTGTCCATTTGGGTGAAATAAAGTCAACTTTTTTGTTGTGTTTGGCTATTGTCTGACACAATCACACACCAAAATGAGCATTGCAGTATTACTAATTCTGCATACCAACATGAGTTATTTACATTTTTTTTAAAAATGTCTTTGCAAAATCGAAACATGGAATATTGTAAATCCTTTGCCTACATACAATTGTTTTACTTACAATCATTTGAACTTTGATTTCTGTTCAAAATGCATAGTTGCAAGAGCTCTCAAAATAATCATTGAATAAAATTCAGAAAGTTAGCGACCCCGACGGCTTCAGAGATCACAGTTCACAGGTTGGTGACCTTACCGATCTCCTCCGTCGGCTGGTTCCTCTCCCAGCCTTGTCGAATGCGCGTTAGGGTCCGATCCACACAGGGGAGGAGGACCAGAGCTTTGAGCACCAGAACCACAGAAGGCACAATCAAACAGAGCATGTAGCCTGGAGGAGTGTACCATTTGTAGGTAGAGGGACGAAGAAATTTATTCCAGCCGTAAATATAGCCATGTGCTGTGCATATGAACAGGGTCAGGTGTCCCAGCTTGGACTGAAAAAGAAAATCACAAAAAATTAAAATGTTAAAAAGACAGCGAGATATTTTAGGAAATGTACTTATTTGCATTTTTTTTGTAGAGATCGACACCACTCTCGTTAGCACATCACCACATCTAAATGTATAATGCGTTGTTTATACACTTGGTAATTAACGAGCAGCTGATGGGCACATTGTTTCTCAGATTGTGTTTTATTTTTATAGTAGGTTGATATTTGGTGAACCGACATGAGACAGGTATCATTTAACTTTAAGCAAACGAGTTAATATGGGTTTTACTTAGGGCCGGCCCGTCCCTCCCTACAGGCCTATCATGCAGACTGCGTGGGGCCTCACCTCGCGGAGGGGCCTCATCTCATCTTCTCATCTTGCGGAGGGGACCTCATCTCGCGGAGGGGGCCTCATCTCTCGCGGAGGGGGCCTCACCTCCGCTTATGCCGCGCAATTAGTGTGGATTCGCAACTGCGAGGCTCCCAA